CAATGCAATTGTAGTGGATAAAATGGTCAATTTTTCCGTGCAGTACTGTACGGATTATACGCTTCTCACCGGTTAAGAGTTTGGCCGAGAGTTGTCTCCTTCCTTTTCTGGCCTAGTGCTGTTCTTTTCTACTTTGCGCCGGTCAAACTGAAGGTCACATCGCTACAGAAAGTAAACGAAGTATACTATGTATATGAAAGTACTTCAGCCCCATTAGTGCAAACTATGCCATTGTTATAGGTATTATTAGACGAATCCATAATTTGACTTGTTTAATTCAGTAGTACAGTAAATGGATATCTCAGAGACATATCCGAAAGAAAATTAGTTAAATTAATCAGAAAATGCCACGCAATGAAATCCATTTGACATTTAAGTGTCACATAAAGTGGTGGAGTAGGCTGTGACGTGAATCCGTCGCTCGAAATTTGAAATATGTTACTGAACTATGCATTACGAACACGATTACCTATCCATTTGTTACGTAATTTGCATACATATATATATGTATGTGTGATGTTAAAGTGGTGCCTATGTTATATGAAGGGTTCACACGGAGGTTAAAGAGAGGAAGATGGAGAAACTGATTGCGGAAATGCACACTTGTGATAAGAAAACTGGGATCAGTAATCTTATCTTTATGAAAAGTGTATGCAAATTCTAATTGATTTTTATTTATCGCTTTGAGTGGGATTGTATTGAAATGCAGGTCTGTTGAAGTCTAAAAATGGTTTAGGACCTTTTGATTTTGGTCATTCAATTACGAGGTATTTATTTTGAAAGCTCCTACTAAAGTGTCACCCTATAATTTTGCGAGACATTTAGAACAATAAGCTTAACTTCGCGTGAGTCAAAAATCTTAACTAGAATTGTACGTAGGATGGAAAAAAGGGGCGGAAGAACTATCAGGGGAAGATCAAAAAGTTAACAGGTTCAGAGTATTCAAAATTAGGCGAGTTTTCTGAACACTGATATTTTTTACGTGAATGTTTCGACTAGAATGAATATTTTTATTTACTAAGTTATAAACAAACTGTTTTCTACAATATATTTATCCAAAAAATTGAATTTACTTCCTTACTTCAAGAAAATATGTCAAAGGTTTCGGTCTAAGTCGATATTTTAGTAATTATTCGATTACACATTTCGTTTGTACCACTCGAGTTGACTCCCGCATTACAGCAAAAGTAAGACTAACAACTTTCACAATTTTGGGTCAATATAATACATTACGTTTCTTCTTTCCGCAAATTACAAAAATACTTTCACAAGACGGTATACCGATGAGTTTTGGCGTTGAGATCTGTTGAAATTCATGCTATCAGGCAGCAGAGAATTCCGCCTTTAGAAACATTAGTATGTTATTAGCCAGCAGTTGTATAGTTGAGAGATCAAAATTGGCATAGTTCGCAATAAATTATCTGTGAGAATGGACGTATCTTCTTTCTTGTTTCCACTTGGAACTGCAGCATTTGCAGCGTTTTGTACGCACCCTTGTTAAGTTGGGAAAGGCTTCATGAGTAGTATAGTCAAAGTGAAAAGAGATAACCGAATAATAGTAAGCGATACAGTGGTTAAAGATTGCATAGGTATGTAAAAGATTAGAGTCGGTTTTATAACTGCCTGGTTGGAATTATATCTTTAAACAAGCGTCTCTGTTTTCCTAAATTCCTGAAGTTTCTTTAAAGCTCGATGCTGGCATCATGATCAAATTCTGTTTGTCGGCATCTCTTTCAATTGGTGTAATGTTATTCCTTTTATCTCTTTCTGTTACACATTAATTGGTGTAATATTCCTTTTTCATTATTAGTGTCCGCTGCAATTCCTACCTGACATCTCTTTCTATTAAAATAATTCGAAGTGGTCTGTATTCTGTCGAAACTGCCAGAAGCGGATGGCGATTTCGATCTTTTTGGATCTCATCAGCGCGTTGCAGATAGCTCCGACAGAACACAGACCATCTTTTACCTGCTGTCTTAACAGCGCGTTTTAGAATATACCACAAATGGCGCGGTAAACGCCATCTGTAGTACGATGCTACATTTTAGGATTACGTATGCTCCAACAAGGTCCATTTAAATATATGAATATCTACTTGCTGAAACGAATCCCGAATATTCGAATATGGTAACGTGCCTATCACGTTGAAGTTAGCTACGAAGGGATTCGTTTCAGCAAGTAGATATCCATTTATTTAAATGGACCTTGTTGGAGCATACGTAATCCTAAAATGTAGCAACGTACCACAGATGGCGTTTACCGCGCCATTTGTAGTATTTTCTCATCTCTTTCTATGTTCAGGATATTCTCTGCAACGTCTGTCGTGGTTAAAAGTAGGCGTTCTGACAGCAATCGCTTCAATCTTCTTAGTAAGTTGAAACAGAAAAATAAATGCGACAGTTTTATTGTGGACTATGCCAATTTTAAACATCCCAATAATAGTAGACGGAAGTGGTAGGTAGTAATAGTATAATACACCAACAGCACGTCGAATAAAAATGCTCACAACATCGATCTATCTAATTACCTTAGGTATTTTACTGGGTGGTACACTTACTTCATCTGTGTCACTTCCAAAGAGCAACAGGTCGAATGGAATGGCAGCGACCAGGTCTATGAGGAACCAGCCCTTCAGGTAATGAACGGCTATTTTGCCCGGATGTGACACAACCTCGTCGTTGCCGCTCACGTATGTTGTCCGGAAATTGATCAGGATGTCTATGATGAAGGTTACGTCGACTACAAAGAAAAAAATGGAGAGAAGTACAGCTTTGAATCAACCATAAGTGTCAAAATTAACTAAAAAAAATATGTTTGACGGTATTAAAAGGTACTGATTCAATTATTATTTAATTTTCGACGGGCAGTATAACTACAAGTAAAACAAGAGCGAATATAAAGATAGGAGACGAATGATTAGAAGAAGTTGCTGATTTTAGGTATCTAGGATGTCAGATAAGTCAGGACGGAAGGAATAGTAGGGATATAAAACAGACGAAAGCGCAGAGTGGAATCGCCTTCAATAAAAAGAAGTACGGTGCGAAACATGGACAGTAGACGCGGTGGAAAAGAAAAGGTTGAAGCGTTTGAGGTGTGGTGTTACAGGCGAATGATAATGATACCACGGATAGAGAAGGTTACGAATGGAAAGGTATTAGAAAGAATAGAAGAACAGAGAACTCTATGGAAATCAATAAGAAATAGGCGAGATAGATTAGTAGAACACCTTCTCACTAGGCATGAAGGTCTAGTCAGAGACATATTAGAGGCAGAAACGGAAGTTAGGAGGGGTAGAGGTAGACCTAGATTAGATTACTGTCCGCAAATAGTTAAGGATGTGGGATGCTCTAGTTTTAGGGAAATGCGAAGATTAGCTCAGTATACGGAAGAGTAGAGGTGCGTGTCCAACCAGTCTTAGGACTGACGACCTAATGATGATGATGATGATGATGATGATGGGCAGTATATCAGGAATCAAGATAATTACTTCTAAGCGGGATAACGGATATGAATACTTTTTGCAATTACACTTTAATTTATACTTGGAATCAACTGCTCTCCGATACTACAGGAGGTAGTGTAGTGATGAGTGAAAATTGATCTAGATCTTGGATGAAAATGCAAGAGTAAGAGCAAGACTAAAACCATGACCAAGACTGTCTCTATATTACCAAAACCATAACCAAAGCAAGAGCAAGACTAAAACCAAGACCGAATGAACAAGACGAAGACTAAATACGTAAATTTGAAATAACTTTACTATATTCTTTTGTTGGAACTAAACATTTTTAGTATTTGAAAAATTTTTAGTTTGCTTTACTAGATTTTAACACTAAATATAAAATAAATTTACCACTGTTTGAAAAAAGGAATCTACAAAAATGTCCTAGGAGTCAGTGTTCTTTATTCGTATGTCTGGATAACACATGGTTGAAATACAGAGACAAACTAATTTTTTTTTTAATTTCTTTCAGGTTCATTTCAATCAATTGATTGATTTGATGGTCAAACCAAGTGCACGTGTTTTTGGCTTACAATACAGGATAGAAAGGGATAGTAAGTAACTATGTGTAGCATGTAAATGGCAACGACGTGATTTATTTGAAATGGTTCTATTTCGAGTACAAGATGCGAAGTATCTATCACTATTTTATAATTTAAAAGTTAATATTTTCTAACTGTAATTTCTATTTGTATCTGGCTAGCACTTAGGTAAACTTATGTTTTATTTTGAAAATACGAAATGCAAACCATGATGACTTTCCACCGTAGTCAAATCAAGTTGTGTTATTTCCACGTCTGGGTTCCAGATAGGATAATGCAATTTTACTCAACTCTTTTAGAAATATTGCTACGAGTAAGATTTTTGCTCGGAATACCGGCTAAATATATATATAGAAACTTAGATATTAATAAATATAAAATAAGAAACCTTTCATAATATCAATCATCTTATATCGATCCACTCCTTGAACGAATAAGTACTTACAAATACGCATTGTTAACTTGTAAAACTTTCTGTAGCATTTCAAGTGACTAAAATAGGTCATGACCCATAATACATTGCACACTATAACGCTGCTGCGAGTGGGTCGAACCTTTACCGATCAATAAGTTCATACCCTTCAAGGCTTCTCTCGGTGCTGTTTCGAGTGTTTTGGATTTATTAAAGAAACAAGGAGTCTTCAAGATGGATGAATGACAAATAATAAGATGCTATTAGCACAGAGGATTTAAAAAATGCGAAGACAGAACACAAAAGGCAACACAAATTTTACGACAGTTATATATAAACCTTTATTACTATGATTTTTTATAATTATGAGCAACCAGTAAGGGTAAAACGTTCTTTATTGATTATGGAATATTCACAGACGTTTCGTCTTTCGATATAAGATTTTATCAAGTCTGTAATGTTTTATTACTATTGTAAGCTATGGATTCAGTTCGTAAAGTCGATATTCTTACTAGAAAAGGACCTTGTTGAACATTATTGAATCCCAGAATAAGTAGTACTTTCTACAGATGGCGTCTACAAGCCCATGGCGTGCTCATGGGAACTAATAAGTTTGAAATTGTAATCTACGTTTGGTAGTTCCGATTAATTACCGATCAAGGCCTTGCCTACCATTTGATACACTATCTGCTCGCCCAGAACATATATGATAAGGAGAGAAAAAAGGCCTAAGAGAGATATTGATAAGTCAGGAGCAACAAGAGAAATTGGGATGAGAAGGAATGGATGTAGGGATGATGATAAACAAAAGAAGCTACTAAATAATATAAGGGGAAGACTTAAGGGATATATAGAAGTCGAAATATGCCAAAAGGGTTGAATAAAGTTCTGTGGGAGTAGTGGCAAGGGTATTTATTACATGAATATTTGAGGTAGGAAAGAAAAGTTTTAGAATGGAGAATGAATGTAATGAAAGTAGTTATAAGGATTTTTGATTTTGGCCTTAGTCTTGGCTTTGTTCGTTTGCTCTTGCTAGTGTATAGGCAGTTTTGGTTTTGGTCTTACATTTTCGCAAGACTAAGACGAAGATTGCAAGACCAAGTTCAATTTTGTCCATCACTAAATGAAAGCAAGTACAGGACGAAAGGAGAGGAAAGAAGATGCAGATGAAAAAGAGAATGAGACGTAAATAAGAGGGTGTAAAAGGTAATGCAAGGGAAGAATGTAGAGAATTGGTAAATGATAATGGTAGGCGGTTGACTATATTAGAAGAAATGATGATGATGATGGAGAAGACAAAAACATTTAAATGTGAATAACCACAGAAGTTTAAATAAAGTTTGTATTTATGTATCTATACCATCTACTCTTAGCAACAAATACCACTAGATGACGATATATGACCAGTTGCTTGGTATTAATAAATTTTTAACAGCAGAACTCTTTCAATATTGATGTTAGACAAAAGTGAAACGATTAGACTATAAAGATTGATAATAATTCGCTTACCTATTAAATCTATTACCATAATAGGGTCTTTTCCGTAACTTTTCGATTTTCTAGTGTTATAGTCGGGTTCATTGAGCAAAAAGGCAGCCACGTAGGGCGTAAAGATGGCCGTGTACATGACCAGTAACAAAATGATCCAGTCCCAGGCGGCTTTGAATGGCGAATAGTGGAGAATCGTCCAGTTGTGTAACCTGGGATTCTGGAGTTTGTACTCCGGGAGAACATCCGCTCCCAATGACAGCACCTGGAAACAAAACAGAACAGAATGTTTACCATTATCATTTATCGAAAAGGACAAAAATAAATTAAAAAAAAATCGGTTGTCTGTAAAGTCGGTTTACTGACGATAGTTGAACGTGACAACGTCATAAGAAAATACTGATGGAATGGTTTCATTTTTCAAAAGAAAATTTTAATTTTATTTGTTTGATAGATATTTTGTATGGATATAGAGAAGGAGGTAAATGGAAATGTATTATTGTATAGCAGCTGTCCACGCGGACGCATCGCTCACTCAAGTAGGAGAGAGACAGATGTCGAACGCTGCCGAACGCGGAGGCCGATTGTGCCTCTTTGTCGCTCGTTCCGCGCTCTCGCTTGCACTTCAAGCCTTAAATGGAACGCCTCAGAGCGAGGTAACACCGCATGAGTCATGTTTTTTCGTGCGTGCAGCCGGCTGCATCGAATTATAAGACGTTGTCACGTCAAAAAAATCTATAAAGTGGAAGTACCAATGCATATGTCTCTTGGTTGCAGGTAATTCGCTAGAAACGTAAACTTTAAATAGGACAATAACATTAGCATTTTCACTAATATTACTTATTTTCCTAATAAACAAAAATCAAAACAATTCATCAACATAAAGTCGTCACTCTTAAGAGTGATTAGACACGCACCTTCACTTTTTGCTATCCTGAGCTGTTCATTGCATTTTTCTAAACCTAGAACATCCTACATCCTTGACTATTTATGAACAGCAATCTAAACTCTAAACTAGATCTATCTCTACTCCCCTTAACTCCTGTTTCTGCTTCCAATATGTCTCTAAAGGTTCTTAAATAAATAGTTTGAAAGTTATTAAGGAAATAGATAAAAATTGCCCATTTCCCTCCTTATTTCCGAAACTACTGAATCTATAATTTAAAAAAAAATATAGAAAATAGTTCTTTACATGTAGATAACAGGAAAATTAATAAAAAGTCTATGGTCTGAACATAACGTCGTAAATATTCCAATAATACGTTTCCGTATTTCTGAATGAAAAGTCGAGTGTCTGTCTTGAGGTTTTTTCTTTTAAATTACTATTTCAACTAGCGACTGTATATTTTTTGGCAGACCGATATATTTCAGTGCTGTTTTATAATTTTCTTATTGCTGTCTACTAATAAACAGCCCAGCAGGAAGAAAAATAGGAAAGAAGGAACCGACTTTTTTGGGCATTGAAATTTAATGATTCTTCACGTGTTTTGAGTTGAGAATGCGAGGAAATTCTTCCGAATTTTGTGCCGATTTTACATATCTAAATTCTTTCGTTTAGTTTTACACATTGAGGAAAGTGGTTATTTCTGATAGTTGGTCTATAGGTAAAATAATATTGTTCGGGGAATACCCTAAAACGCGATGCTTTAGGGGATTTCTGAAGTTGATTTACTTGTCTATACAAACAAAAGTTAGGATTTTATTTTTTCTTTAGTCTGAAGATTCCTAGTCCTAGTTAAAAATTGTAACGAGCGGCAAATATAATATTTGCCCTGAACGGTTAAATTGCTAATTCGCACCCTACATTCAGGAAGAAGATAAACCCTTTTATTTCGTTTCAGTTATGCGTATATAACTAGAAGCTATGGTGATGTTTTTCATTAAAAGTTGGTAATGGCATGTTTTATGAACATGCTGTATATTCAATATGAGATAAAATTTCATATTCCAAACGCACGGGTTGCATGTGGAAAACTATGTAAATCCGAGCTGCATCGGGCGGCACATTTGTTAACATATTACAATGCAGGTTTTCTCAGAACTATTCCTGTAGAGTTCAAATTATGTGCAGATATTTGCTTTAGAAATAACAAACTTTGTAATATCAGTTTTCTGGTTAATATTTATGGAGTTTAAGTTCGAAGCGTTATCTTTTCATATTATTACCATTTGATTTGTTTGTATAAGCATTTTTTATGATTGCGTAGGTACTCATATTGATTAAAAATTGAATTAAAAAAAAAGTAATCCCAAAAGTAAACAAAAAAATTAAAACAAGATTTGGGTACATATAAGAGTTAATTAAAAATTCGATTAAGTGTTTAATCCTCAATCAGCCAAGTTCCGTTGCATGCTGCGTGCGCACGTCTCTTGTCTACTAACTCTTAACGCCCCTAAGGAGGTATATGTATAGTTGGGACGTTAAAAACTGGCATCCCTAGACAAAAATTTTCAGTCTCTTTCCAGTCTCTCAGAGTCTCTGAGAGCGTCTCTCACAGTCTCTCAGTTATTGCCTAGGTGTTTTTATGGATCTCTCACAGTCTCTGTATGAGAGGCTCGAACGATAAAATTGTTAATTCAGATATTCGAGTCTCTCACAGAGAGACTGAATGAATAAAACTGAAAAATTGAGAGACTCGAGTCTCACGTAGAAAGACTGGGATCTCTGAAATATGTTGAACTTAGAAAATTTTAACCATGTCTATCGAGACACCACTTATTGAGAGATTCGACTTTCTCGCTCAGAGATTCGAGTCTCTCGTTCAGAAATTCGAGTCTCTCGTTCAGAGATTCGAGTCTCTCGTTCAGAGATTCGAGTCTCTCGTTCAGAGATTCGAGTCTCTCGTTCAGAGATTCGAGTCTCTCGTTCAGAGACTGTATACGAAATGAGGATCTCTCTATGAGCGACACGAGTCTCTCGTTCAGAGATGCTAAACAGTTTTTTTGACAGTCTCTCTTAGCGACACCAGAGAGACTCGACGAGAGACGGAGACTCGAGTCTCGCTCTCAGAGACTCTGAGAGACTGAACATTTTTATCTCGGGATAGTCCATAATAAAACTGTAGCATTTACATTCTTCTTTCAACTTTCTAAATAGATTAAAGCGATTGCTGACAGAACGTCCACTTCCATTCACGACAGACGCCGTAGGGAATATTGTAAACATACAAAAGAGATGTCAGGTAGGACGTAGGAATTAATAACATTACGCCAATTGATGTGTAACATAAAGAGATGCAGATAAGACAATTTTAGTACGCTGCCAGTATAGGATTTTACTGAAAGTTCAACATTCTCAGAAGTTTAGGAAAGCACAGACGTTAGTATAAAGATATAATTCCAACGAGGCAGTTATAAAGCCGACCCTGATCTTTTGTGTACCTAAGCAACCTCTAACCGCTGATCCGCTTACCATTATTCGGTTATCTCTTTGCGTACCCAAGGGGGGCAGGGGAGGGCGGCTGCGCCCCTTGGAAATCTCTTAGAAAATGTCTGAACTCGCCTAATCACCAATCAAAGTGTAAACGGGGCCTTATATGTTCATTTTAGAATAAAATAGTAGAAGTCGAATTAAACAATTAAAAAAATCGGTTGTCTGTAAAGTCGGTTAACTGACGATAGTTGAACGTGACAACGTCATAAGAAAATACTGATGGAATGGTTTCATTTTTCAACAGATGTCGAACGCTGCCGAACGCGGAGGCCGATTGTGCCTCTTTGTCGCTCGTTCCGCGCTCTCGCTTGCACTTCAAGCCTTAAATGGAACGCCTCAGAGCGAGGTAACGACGCATGAGTCATGTTTTTTCGTGCGTGCAGCCGGCTCCATCGAATTATAAGACGTTGTCACGTCAATAAAATAAAAATGCATATTTAAATTTACTTTTATTTATTTAACTACCTATATAGCAGGATTATTTCAGGATGTTTGCCCTACATATACCTAATGTTTCATGTAGGTGCCTTGAATGTGTGAATGACAAAACAGCCGCGGACGATCTGACCTAAAAATCTGATTTGCCCCCCCCCTAGGCCAGAAGCTAGGTACGCCCATGTGTACTACTCATTAAGCATTTCCTAACTTAACAAGGGCAAGTTTAAAACGCAGCTAATGACTGTAGTCCCAAACGAAAACAAGAAAGAAGATACGTTCATTCTCACAGATTTATTGCAGACTTTGCGAATTTTGGTCGACTCAACTGTACAAGTTCGAAATTCTACATCATTGGAAATGCTTATTCAGGTAAAGGTACGGAATCCTGTAGATTATCTATCAATTCATCAAAAACTGATGACATGAGGGAATGTCTCGCATTAACATACATACCTAAATGAAGGGAAGAATCCGATAACTATTAACTCCTATTTCAAACATATCTTAATTTCATTGACTTTAATTTACAATACACCACTGCCCATTCTTCCTTTAGCCATTGCACAGGGCCGTAGCCAGACTGAAAGCTGAATTTTTCCACATCTCTATCTACATATTTAGCGTTGCTTTGGTTAATTTTGTTTTTAATAGGTGCAACACAGAGTCCGATGAATATTAATAGCTGATCGTTTTTGCATGAAAAAATTGGTGCAAGGACTCAAAACAATTCTCGAAGAAAAAGAAAATTCTACGCAGAAATTATTAATTAATTAGTAGGTGAAAACATCTAGCAAAACTGTCTTGAAAATCTTTACACATTTTTATGTGGTATTGCCAATAAAGTAATTAGTTGCTAATTTTACTGTAAATTACTGTTTTAATGTTGAAAATAAGATGTTTGTAAAGATACTATTAGCAATTGCTAGTTTTAGTAAAAATTTTGGTGAAGGCGCCAGGACAATAGAAAAAAGGCTACGATTGAATCACAATTCAGGTTTCATTAAAGTAGACATAAAGCAAATGTTACTATAATAAAATGACTACAAGAACGCTTTAGGCAACGTCTTTTCTCTAATTAAAATTACGCTTTTACCCAAAACATAGTACTATCTTCAAACAAACAATAATGAATTAACTAGAAGATAATATTTTTCATGTAAAATTTGGTAACGTTGAGTTTTTGTCCTTTTTCTATAAAACTGTAAAATAATTAAGAAGTTTGAAAAAGAGATCGACATGGGTATCTGAAATTTTGGTCGGGTTGTTGAAGAAAAACAATTTTTTTAGTAAAATCAAAATTAAAAATTGATCATACATTACTTTATTGTTTATACGAAAAGATGAGTGAAGGTATTTGTGGATTCTAATTTCCCTATACTACGTCATATATGTCA